AATGGGCAGCCAATGCAGTGCGGCCAGAGTTGGAGAAATGTGTTGGTATTTTCTCACTCTGGTGAGGAGTCTGGCTGCCACATTCTGCACCACCTGAAGTTTCTGCATCAGCTTCAAAGGCAGCCCAACGTAGAGCGCGTTACAGTGGTCTAATCTTGAGATTACGAGCGCATGCACCAAGGTAGTGAGTGCCCCCATGTCGAGGTAGGGCCGCAGCCAGGCAATTCGACAGAGATGGAAAAAGGTGGTGCGGACTACCAACGCCATCTGAGTTTCCATGGTGAGCGTCAGGTCCAAGTGTATGCCCAAGCTGCAGACCCCACTCTTCGCAGCCAGGATCACCCCCCAAACGTGGGAGAGTCACCCAAGCCCCAACCACGGGGCCACCCACCCTCAGAACTGCCGTCTTGTCCAGATTCAACCTCAGCCCATTCTCCTGCATCCATTGCAGTACAGCCCCCAGGCAGCGCTGGAGGGACAGGACGGCATCACCTGCAGTTGGTGAAAAGGAGATGTAGAGCTGAGTGTCATCGGCATATTGATGACGCGAAACCCCACATCCCCTGATGACCCCTCCCAGCAGCCTCATATAGATGTTGAACAGCACTGGGGAGATGATCGGCCCCTGTGGAACCCCACAGTTGAGACTCCACGGGGCTGAGACACTCTCCCCAAGCTGCACTCTCTGGGGACGGTCCCCCAAGAAGTGCTTTGATCCCTCCCCCCCTTACTTCCGAGTATAAAATGACCCTCAATTTTTCCTTTAATTATTTTAGGAAAAAGTGTTTGGAAAAATACATAGAAAAATACAGTACCTACCTTGAAAATTTTGAAGAAGGTCACCATAAATCAGAATTGATTTGAAAGCACACAATTATTATTATACATACATGCAGGCTGATCATATCCAGACATACTGATGAGCTGCATAGGCATTGGATGAAGCCAAGAAAAGTCCTAGTTATACTGAAAAGAAATGATGACTGTTGCCAAATTCTCACTTTAGAACTAGTCACCACATAACAGAATATTAACGCAGCATATGGCTAGACCATTCCTAGTATGCTGCAAAAACAGTGCATGAGAAAATGAGATAAATGTGTGGCAAAAATATCAAATAACTCTTTTAATTTTTATAAATAAAAAGCCTGCTTCCAGACCCCCCAAAAACAAACAAACAAAAGCCTGCTTCCCAAAGTAGTTTGTAAGTAAAGGACAAAAATGTGAATCAGGACTACTAGCTGCGTTTGGGAGGTGATTTTTTTTTTTAAACCTATCAAAGGCTCCCATCCCCATCCTAAGGCTTCTAAAGGCTTCCCCAGGGCAAAATGGAGCCCTAAGGAGCCTTGGAACCTAAAAAGAGGAGGATAGGAAGCTTTTAATTAGTTGTTGTTTCTAGCTGTTTGGATTGTTCCATTCACAAACTTCTGCCCTGGCTTCCAAAAAAGGGAGGTGCTCCTTCATCCCGGCTTTACAGACAAAGACATAAAAAATAAAGACGACAGAAACGTGACACCTTAAAGACTAACTGCTATATTTTAACGAAAGCTTTCATAGATCAACTCCACTTCCTCAGACCTTTTTGTTTTCGCCTGCGATCCCATGACAGACCAGCAGTGCTACCTTTTCTGAAACTTCATCCCCCGCTTCTCATGGACATTTCAGGTTCTGGTCTTAAAATCCATTTCTAGGGGAAATGACTAAAGTTACTAAAGTGGAAGCGCGGGTGGTAAAAGGAATGCTACCTTCTAGCCGCCTAGAGTGGTCGAGTAGACCAGATAGGCGGGGTATAAATCAAATCAAATAATCAATTCTTCTCTTCACACGTATTGATTTGTTTAATCATGGCACCAGCTCAAGTTCGGGGCTTTGACCCGACACCGCCAAGAACAACGCCTGTACCTCGTTCAGATTGAGATCCGGATTAACTACACTGCTCTCAGAAAACGCCTTCTGCAGATATTCTCACCTCCTCCACGTCTAGCAATTCAGTCCAGGAGTTCTGAAGTTGGGCGCTGATTAACACTCCTAGCCTTTATTCAGCTTGCTCTGCGAGTTGTTCCCCACCTGTCGCGCCCTCGGGGAAACGCTCCGGAGCATCGCTCTGGACGGACCAGACACGGTGTTGGGGGAGGGCCCGATTCAAACGGAACCCAACCCCCCCACACATCGTCTCCGTCCCAGGCTGGCAAAAAAAGCCAGCCCGCTGCCCCATGCCAGTTTTTACCTGGGCGATTTCCGGGCGGGGCACGACGGCGTCCCTCCTCCTGCTCCCCCCCCCGTTCCCCCTCCGCCGAGGCGCAGCTGGGTCGCCCGGTAGATCTTCCAGTAGAGCCGACGAGGACCACGCCGAGGGGGAAGGTAGAAGGCGCCGCAGGTGGAGGAGAGGGTGTCGGAGGGCTCCTGGCTGACCTGGCAGCGCTGCCGCTTGCTGGCCGTCGTAGTAGGCACCCTCGCCCCAGGCCCAGCGTGAGGAGGGCCGAGAGCGCCCAGGCCAGGGCGATCAGGAGGTGGGAAGCGCGGCGGCGGAGGGCGGGCAGCGTGTGTACTCCAGGGGCCGCGCCAGGGACCAGCAGCGGTCCAGGGCAATGGCGGCCACGCTCCAGAGGCTGGCCGTGCAGCAGAGGACGTGGCCGGACGGGGCACAGGGCCCGGCCCCGCCGCCAGCTCCTTCGCCAGGCTCAGCGGCATGACCAGCCCGGCCACCAGCACGTCCGTGGAGGCCCCCAGCTTGTGAGGCACCCGGTGGAAACGTTTGACCCGCAGAAAGGTGGCCAGCACCAGCAGGTTCCACGTGAAGGTGGCCGCCGCTAGCAGGCTGAGGAGCGAGAACGCTGGCCGCCCTACCCCCGGCCCACGAGGGTCCGGTGCGGTTGCCCGGCGCGGCTGAGGAGGAGCCGTTCAGCGTCATGGCCACTTGGCGGGAAGGGACGCTCGCCCTGGCCGTGGCGCGCAGGAGGCTTCAGGCGCGCCGTCCTCAAGTCTGGCGGCGGCGGCGGAGGCAGCTCCACCTAAGGGGACTGAGGCGGGCGGCGGGGGCGGCGCAGGGTTGCTGGAGTGAGGGCGAGCAGTTCCCCCCCTCCTTTCCAGCTCCTTTCCATGGGCGCGCCGAATTAAGCCATCTTTCTTCTCCGTCCTTTGG